TTGGGAAGAGAAAAAGTAGAAATTATATGGCTTAACCCAGTATTTTCAAATCATGATTTCACGACTCGGTGTACAAGATACTAAGAGATTTTCCTTACCCTTTCTTATTTGAAGACCTGTGTGCCTTTTAGACACAAGGCACATCTCAGTTCAGACCAGCCACATTTCAAAGGTTAATTACCCATGTTCAGCTATCACTCCCCTGTAGAACTGCTTGGCTGTTGTTCCTTTCTGTGTCTAGACAGTGCTGCCATCCCTCAGCATTCAATAATGCCTTGCTGAACTGAACAAATGGGGATATTTTGGACAATAAAAAGCTGTTTTTCACAAAACACCTTTGTTACTGTCAGTGTATTGGTGATGGTGGTGGTAGTGGATATTAGAGGTACCTGGATAATAGTTTTTCTAAATAAAAGTTTCGCTTCTCTGGAGTTTAAATGTTGGTAAAAAAATATTTATTTCAGTTGACCAATTTTGAAAATTTGTTTGAAGATTTAGAAGTGACTATTCGGTTCCTTTTTGGAAAGTGTTCTGTGGAACTCTCGTTTCTTCTCTTAGTTTTAAGACAGGAAAGGTGTTAGTCAAAGGGAGAAAATATTCAGATATGCAAGATGAGTGAGCCCTCGAAATCCACTGTGTACCTAGTGCTTAAAGCCAGCCATGACGTATTGAGCACTTCAAATCTGACTGAGTGTAGATCTCATATTACTTGTTAAAACAACACACACAAGAGTGGAGAGTGATTTTTGGAGGTGATGGGTATGTTCACAAGACAGATTGTAGTGATAGTGTCATAGGTATATTCTAATCTTAGACTAGTCATATACATTCAGTATGTACACTTGTATGCCTCAGTGATACCTCAGGGAGATGATTGTAAAAAAAGTAAGGACACCTGATAAAAGCAACTGACCAACACAACACAAGAGGGAAAGGCTTAATGTATATAACCTTTAGTTCTAGTTTCATCCCTGCCAGCACTAGCTGCCAGACAGCATCAGGCAAATTGTTCAGTCCTTTGCATCTCAGGTGTCACTTTTAAAAGGAGTACTTTCTCTATTAAGGCTGTCTTCATGAAGTAATGGAGATTACAAATATACATAGTCTAGCGTAGTGAGAAGAAAAGAAGCTGATTTGATAAATAGCAGTACTATTATAATAGTGTAATAAGCATTAAACATTAAATATTAAGCTGTTTTCCTATTCATTTTAAAAATGGTTTTAGTTTTAAAAGTTTTAGTTTTAAAAGGTTTTAGTTTATATGTTCACAATTTTGTTTCTAACATGTACTGATGAAAGCACTCATAGATATGGATTTGAAACTGGGCATACAGCTCACAAGATTTTTATTTTATTATTAAATCAGTTAGTTTATGTCTCAGTATTATATGAGAATAGAGACAAAATAGTATCTATCATTGTGCCCGGCATACAATCATCAGTTGTATATATTGGCCTATTATTCATCCCTTTCTCTGAAAGGTCAGTATTTTAATATTTGTATTTTGATTAAATACTAGTAGCTTTGCACTTTTAGCTCTTTATCATGCTTTGAGTTAGCTAATTTCTTCAAAGAAACTTGTAGTAAGTTAACATTTTACTCTGTTTTAGCTAATTAAATGTATTTAACTGTGTTTTTACTTTTAATTTTTTCCTCTAGCTCCTTGTGTGTGTCTTATGACAACAAGGCTTTGTATTTTGATCATAAGCACAAAATCCTATTTCATTACTTGGCCTGTTTATTTACACTTTATTCAATGCAAACTTAAAAACAAATTGGCATTTTCCTGAAGAGAGATGGTCTACATATACTGTAGGAATAGTCTCCTTTCCATAGCTTAGACCAGTCTGCTGCTATTGAGTTAATTCCATTCATCTCTCCAAAGGAAAATATGGTCATGTTGGACTTCCAACTTCGAATTCCATTATCAAAGCAGGGGCTGAGTGGCAGAGCTTGTCTAACATCCTTGAGGCATTAAGTGGGAAAAAGTAGAATTTTGACGCAATCTGAAGTTGTCATGAAATATCTTTATTTGTAAATATCTAAAATTGCCTTTCAGGGACAGACACGAATGTTAGGTCGTGTTCCGTATAAGTACTTCTACATGTATGCCAGTCTGCCAGATTCTGTCTTGAGAAATGTTTGTGAAAATATCCCTGTGTTTCCACCTCTGACTCCCATGTTCATTCAGCCCTTTCCCATCTCCTACGACAAGCTGAATGATTTGGGGAGCATCCACTTGGGGCTGGGGATGAAATGCTCCACATACAAGGTTAATGCCACCTCTGTGTTCATGGAACTTAACAGCCTCTGAGCTTGAGGCTCTTGCCTGTCTGTCAGCCCTCACTTTGTCCCATTTCCAATATCTTTTAGGCCATCTCTACTCAACTGTCTCATAAAACACTTGAATGGGGGCTGAGAATGTGGCAAAATGGTAGAGGGCTTGCCTACCATGCATGAGGCCCTGGGTTTTATTCCTCAGTACCACCTAAACAAATAATAATAATAAAATCACATTTAAAACAAAACAAAATGAAAATGCTTCAATAATCTGCATTACCCAACAGAGCATTTCCAGACTCCTTGCTGAGTACAAGATCTTCGTAATGTGGTTCATTTGTAAAACCTTGTGTCATTTAAATACGTTTTTATAGCCACATGAAGTCCTTGAGGTCTATGTCCTTCAAAACAGTTCAAAAGCCAGTGTTTGCTTCTACTCCCATTTTCACTTGTGAATATCCACGGATGTTTTTGACAGATTTTCCTTATAGTAGTCACAGTATACTAAACATTATCCTTCCTTCATTTGACTTCAAAAGGAATAAAACTAGCTGGGCGCTGGTGGCTCACGCCTATAATCCTAGCTACTCAGGAGGCTGAGATCTGAGGATCATGGTTCAAAGCCAGCCCAGGCAGGAGAGACCGTGAGATTCCTATCTCCAATAAACCACCAGAAAACGGGAAGTGGCACTGTAGCTCAAGTGGTAGAGCGCTCGCTTTGAGCTGAAGAGCTGAGGGACAGCGCCCAGGCCCAGAGTTCAAGCCCCACAACCGACCAAAAAAAAAAAAAAGAAAGGAATAAAACTTTTTTAATAACAACTATTTGAATGAATACATATCTCAAACAATATATAAAGAATATCTCATGGCTTCCTCACACTGAACATTAGTTATAAGCCTGGGACTCTTTCAGGCTATATACATATATATACACATATATCTATACATATATGTATAGATATGACAATAGATATGTTCTCTGTGTTATAGTTATTACTTTGAGAAATAAAGTAACATCAGAAATTTCTGGTACATTAATGGGAAGATGATGTTTTGGAAAGCCATGAATATTAAATCTTTAAAAAGGTGGTTAAGTTTCAGGAAGCTTTTCTTACACTGATTCTTAGTTAAGAAAGTAACATTCATTTTAGCACATTCTTACAGTTTCTGGTGATGAATCATAGGGAAGAAGCCTTGGGCAGAAAGATCTGATTCCTGTTGTCCTTCTTTTTAGTTCTTATCTTTCTTGGACAATAGACTTCTGTGTGTTTTCAAGTGACTTTTGTATTGACATTATTCTCAAAAATGTTTCTCTACCCCTTCATCTCACAGTGCTGAGTCCCATTTTAAGGGTGAAGAAAAAGTTATCTAACAAGGTAAAATGGCAATCTTCCTGCTAATCACTTTTATTTTCTTATTGTGTAAATATATTGGCAGGAAGTAAGACAGAATACAATTAATAAAGCAAATAATTGATGTCCCAGTGTACAAAAATGTCTCCATTTGGAAATGAAAACCAAAACAGATTTTTTTTTTTAAAGTTAAGGGGATGGTGTGTATGGTGTGTGTGTGTGTGTGTGTGTGTGTGTGTGTGTGTGTGTGTGTGTGTGTGTGTGTGTGTGTGTGTGTGTGTGTTTAAAGCATTCTGAATCAGAGGAGGAAAGTATTACTTTGCAAGCTGGAAATACACTGCTATTACTTTAAAACTAAAAACTTCTTTCAAGTGGTACTATTTGTATTTCAATTCACCCCACACAAAGTTGGCTGTGGTATACATTCATTGGACACTTTTTTTTTCACTTCCAAACTATGTATAAGAAGCTAAAACTTCTGGGACCCTGTAAGCTGCATATTTAAATCATCATAATAAGGACTTAAAACATATATGACAGTGGATCATACAGTTCTTATGTTAATCTGAGAGATTTTTTAAAAAATTTGACTCCACTATGCATGTAATATATCTTTAAGACCACAATAACCAGACACAGGTATCTGCACTTAAAGTTAAATTGTGAAGGACTACTAATTTTTGTCTTCCATTGTTTTAGGAAATGTACTATATCTAGAAATTAATAGATACCCTGGCAGCAAAAGTTAGCCTCATTCTTTACCTTTTCTAGGTTAAAAATACCTTTAAAAAAAAGAAAAGAAATATAGTCTGTGAACTAGACTGTCATTATACTATTTTAAGTGAGAAATGTAAGAGGAAGGCTGAAATTTCCTTGATAGGCTGAGACCTATATAAAACCTACAGCCATAGGTCTGAAAAAAAAGAAAATTAATATATGAACATTTTAGCTAACACTGTGCTTTGCCTCAAAACCAGGTGTTTATGACTGTATGCTTTAAGAGACAGAAGTGGTATCCACTGGAAAAACACTTCCTAGTGGGTTAAGAACAGTATGGCTTTCTGGCTCATAAGTAGGAGAGTTGGTTCTTTGGTTTCTTTGTTCTGATTAGGCTGGCTGGTCCTGGCTGTTGTAGCCCAACATGTTACATCTAATGGAGACCATGGAAGCGCATTTAGCAGCTGTTTCCATGGCATAATAATGAAATATGCTGTTTCGTACCTCATGCTATTGCTATAAAATGTGGAGAGTATTTTATAGAGATTTGGTGAACAGAGCTGTATCCACTTTAAGTTTAACAAAATGTGTGAACCTGATTAAGAGAGTTGCATTTTCAAATAAGAGTAATGAAGACTCTTTTCTTATAGGTAAAGAAAACGTGCTCAGAATCCGATGCTTCAGAACCTCAGAATTCCAGGTATTGTAAAAGAAAGATCAAAACTTCACTAAAAAATTATAATTAAAAAAACAATACGATACTATGCTTTAAATCAGAATTTAAAGAATCTTTGTGTATAGAAACTATGCATTATACTGTCTAGGATATTATTAACACATGATTAACTTAAAACGACTGTGATTAAAGTCAGTTTTAAAGAATAATAGAAGAGATAACAGAAATATCTCTAGAAATCCTTGAAAATATATTCCCCTATATAAATAGATAGTTAACCTTAAGCTTTCATTCTAATCTTTTTTATGACATGTTTATAACTGCAAGTGAACCTGGCGCTATCATATCTGTGTTTACAAAACAAAAGCAACAACAACAAAGAACTAGCATTTGCTTTTCTTTCTAATGAAGTCTTGCTAGGTTTTTAGAATTCTTTCAAAGTGGGAAACTAAACATTAGCTAAACATTTTATTTTTGGTTATTGGGACCTGGGAAAAATGTTAATCTGGCAGCTTCATACAGGAATTTAATACTAATTTATCAGAATCAATACTATTTATTAGAAGCTCAGCAGATTTGTTATAGGCCTATGAATTTTTCATGGCTTGTATTTCAAACTCCAGGCCTCGATGTTAAGTGGCTAAGTGAAAGTATAATAAGTACCATGATGACAGTAAGCACAGGGTTTTATATGATATTACTGATATCATATATATCTATTCTACTTTATTTCTATTCTACTTCACTTATTCTATTTTATTCAAAATTTTGAATTTAATTGTGAGATAGGTACTCATGCATTTTGTCTTGCTCTAGTTTATGATGGTTGCAGTGATTTTCAAGATAAAGTTAAGAAATATTGACATAAGTAATGTGGCTGGCCAATATATTTTGCTTTGAAGAGCAAATATAAATAATATACTATACACTTGTCATTCAACTAACTCCTATTTTATTCAGTATAATATTCTACTAATTGATTCCTTTATATATTAAAATGATCACAGTTGGCTCATTAGGAACATATAATATGATAAGATTAATACTGTTAGACCTTATTTTACTGATTTGTTGTCAAAACTAAATTAAATTATTTATTTTATTGAAGTATTGGAAAATAGGTAAAGTATTACTTTTTTTCATAAAAGACAAGTACTGTAAGATTTGTGGAGAGAAGTGAAGGCCAGAGTCCTATTTATTGTGAGCAATTTCTTCCTAATCATTTGCTGAGCAATATTAGTAGCTTATCTATGACATACTTTACAAATATTGTGTAGGTAATTAGAGATTTGCAATCAGTATATCTTGGAAGGTAGTGGGAAACTGGCAATATTAATCACCTTAATGATTGATATTTCACATCATTTTCTGAAGTCATTTTTTGAAGTCACTCAGGATCATGATACTGTGTTTATACATAAATATTATTAGAGAACAAAGCTACAAAATTGGTTTCATATCTCACAGTTGTATCAGTGATTCAGAGAATGTGAAAAAAGTTCAGAACTCTCTGAATTTAAGTCTGGAATTAGATTATTCTTTGCTGCTTACAAAATCCCAGCATATATGCTTTATAAGTCATGAAGCTCAGTGCTGCAGGGCTTATATAGTATATGTGAGGCCCTGCATTTGATCTCTACTGTGTGTGAATGTGGGAATGTATAATTTTTCTTTATTTTTTTTGTCGGTTGTGGGGCTTGAACTCTGGGCTTTGGCGCTGTCCCTGTGTTCTTCAGCTCAAGGCGAGCGCTCTACTGCTTGAGCCACAGTGCCACTTCAGATTTTCTAATGGTTTATTGGAGATAAAGAGTCTCACTGACTTTCCTGCCCAGGCTGGCTTTGAACCATGATCCTCAGATCTCAGCCTCCTGAGTAGCTAGGATTACAGGCATGAGCCACCAGTACCCGGCTCTATAATTTTCTTTAAGATAAATATATTGTTATTTTTAAAAAAAGCTGGTTTTGACATGCATGTATTTAATGATATCTTTATCTCTGTAAGTTGAAAACCACCCAGGCTTTTTTGAAACTATTGGTTGTTTGCCATAGATTAGCTACTTCTGAAATTGACCTCATGGGTTATATAAATGCACATAATTAGATAAATTGGATTCTAAGAATGTTAAAGTTCCACACAATCAAAAAATAAATGTACTCTTTAGAGCCCAGGGAACATATTGGTTCCAGGAGCCCCAACATGTAGTTGCTGTTCCTTCCCCTGACGGCTACAATGGTCAGATGCCATAGTCTTGTCAGTCAGTCACAGAGAGTGAAATTGTTCTTGGAGCCTGCTTTTATTCACCAGTACTAGGTTTGAGAGTGCCAAAATGGCACTTAGTTAATGTAGTGATGGAGCACTAAGAGTAATATAAAATTATGCTAGAAAGCACTCTGTCACAGGCTGGTGGCTCACACCTGTAATCCACACTACTCAAGAGGCTAAGGGCTGGAGAATTGCCAGTCATAGCAAGCCCTGGTAGAAAAAGTCTGAGACCTCATCTTCAAAGCTGAGCTCAAGTGGTAGACCATCAGCCAAGCAAGCTCAAGGCTCTGAGATTCAACCCAGGAAACCTGTACAAAAAGATACATTATCTTCTGGGAGGTTAAGCAATCAAGGAATGCTTACAACAGTATTATTAATATTTTTGTTTATGTGGTACTGAGGAATTGAACCCAGGACTTATGCGTGTGAGGCAGGCTCTCTACCACTAAGCCACCTTCCCAGCCCTAAAACACTATTTATTATATTCATGTGCAGAATTCTTGTCCTGCAACACTAAGCAGCAGTGCTCGGTACATGTTTATATGGGTATATTCTTTCTGTCCATTAAGGATCAAAGGTTCATATTCTATCCACTCCTATCCTGCTGGTTCCAATTGTGTGCGTATGTATGTGCTGGAGAGAGAGAGAGAAAAGAGAGAGAGAGATAGACAGACAGAGGCAGAGACACAGAGAGACAGACAGAGTAACAGAGACACAGAGAGAGACAGAGAGAGAAGGGCAGAGAGAAAGAGAAAGACAGAAAGAGAGAGAGGAAGACAGAGAGGCAGAGAGACTGGATATGAAAGATAGCCATTCTATTCTAAACCAATCTTAAGTGAAGAACTTGAGCTAACAATGAAATATCAACATAAAGGTTAAGCTGGAGACACACCACCTTACAAAATGCTACCTCACTGGAAATCTAAAGCAAATATCATTCGCCTATTTGCTAGATTTACAGTGTGATGGTTTTGGATCTAAAATGATCACAATAAATGCAGATGGAAAGTGTTTTTTACAGTAGGGAAGTACCTATGTTGGGCATGGAGACTGTGAGGAGAATTCTTGGAGTGACATGCGTGTGTCAGCAAATTTTGTCTTGCCTGGCCTTAATTCCTCTTTCAGGGAGAGACTCTGGGGCTGCAGGTGTAATGAGTAGCTTAGAGGGAAAAAAGGGAATTGACAAACTTATGTACTACGAGTCAGGAAAAACTGGAAAGTTAGCAATAACATTGCATGTATGGACTAAAAGCCAGACATTGGGGACAGTATTCACTGTTTCCTAAAGCTATTAAACTTGATGTCATATGGAGAGGGATATAATGTGCTTCTTATAAAAATTTACATTCCTTGAATGGTTTCCTTTGCTTTTCTCTTCAGTGTTGCTAACCATGTCCAGACTATACTATTCTGGATCTTCTTAAAATTAATGTTAACCATAAAATAGCTACATGAAAAAGCTACAATGTATATTTACTTCATGTTTGACTTTACCTTAAAATTAAGTTTGCTACTAGATAGACCATCTGAAAAACACAAACTGAAACATTATTTTGGTGGTTTGTTTTAATCCTGTATTCATGGTGAATTCATTTGTGCCTCATTTGAGACACTTTGAAAATGCATGGAACTTATTTAAGATAATAGATAGTTCCTGGACAAATGAATCTTTTAGCAGATGTTTCTATGAATCTGATAAAGAAACATTTTAAACTTGAGCATAGGTGACTCACACCTGGAATCCTAACTAACTCAGGAAGTTGAGATCTGAGGACCACAGTTTGAAGCTAGCCTGGGGAGAAAGGTTCCCAAGACTCTTTATCTTCAATTAACTAACAACAACAACAAACAATGGACTAGAGGTATGACCCAAAATGGCTGGGCACCAGGCACAAATAAAAGAGCTGAGTGAAAAAGCCAAGAGCATGAGGCTCTGAGTTCAAGAGGCTCTGAGTTTAAGTCCTGGCACCAGCAAATACACACACACACACACACACACACACACACACACACACACACACACACACTTCACACTCTACTTTTACTTATATTATTAATTTTGATTTAATAGCTAATTTTTAATTGAGAATCAGAAAGTTGATCTATTAAAGGTCTAGTATAAAAGCTTTAAAAGTGAATTTATCTTCTGTAAATAATTGTTACTTAACAATGTTATAGTTAAGGCATGGGTTATATGTTATTTGCTAGTCAAATGACTTTTCAATGCTTTCAGAAGACTGCCTGTCAAAATTTAAATATTGTATTGGTCTCACTGCAGGGAAATCTGAAGCACCTGTATGAAAACGTACATAATATTTTACTGTGTAAAATTAGAGATCCACTGATCTCAATACTCTGTTTTCAAGATACATTAAAAATCATTTGCTGTACTTCCACAAACTTGACAATTTGGGGATGTAGTTTTAGTAAACTTAGATTCTCTTAGTAATACTATCTAGTTATATGGAATTATGTAGCCTCTCCTAAAGCTTAGTTACATTACAACATATGCTCTGTTTTTTACTAAAAACAAAGCCAGAAAATTGCTAAACACAATGTAAAGTAATAATGAACTCCTCATTATTTGAGCCACCTATTTAAAATTATCAGGTATACTTCTGAAAATGATAAATATTCTGAAATCTCGCTTTCATTCTTCGGTGACTTAGATGTTCTGACTCATACTATACCTTAATCCTTTTCTCCCACTTTGGAGAATGTTTTGTCTCATTTCAAAGTCTGACCTCATGTGGATTCCTCT